CCCCCACCCCCTATTTCTATTTTCCCCTTGGGTAAACGCATGCCTTTCAGATTAATTTAGTGAGATAACCCCGACGTTTTTGATAGGGACGGTGAGGCCATTTCTCGTGAGTACTTTTACCATCACAACGCGTCAGAGCTGACACCCCCCGAGCACATACATACGGTATTGCCGTTTCGGGACGAGACCGTCATCCGCGCTTGACAAGACAAGTGAGCTAGAAGGTGCCCAGAAGGCAATTATTGGCGGTTCGTTGCTGCCAGGGATACATGTCGAGTTCATCGTCTTGCTCGATTCGAAAACATCGTAGCCGTCGGTGTCGTATATTTACTTCATTTCGGGAACAGGCAGGGCACCGTGTCTCGATTTTTTGCTGTGCTCCCCGCTCCGCGGGGTATTGAGGATAGAAAACGACCCCCCCCCCCCTCATTTCTACTTTCCCCCGGGGGAGCACAGCTCCAGAGAAATTGTTTCAGTACCCCGCCGGCGGTAGGACACCGACGATTACGGTCATCAAATCAGTTCTGCAATGTTACAAGTAGTGTCCTTTGCAAGGGATGGTGTGCGCTAACACGTTCAACAACCGTATCCCCACAAATCGATAATCTGGGTCCGTGGGGGGCATGTTCTTCTTTTCGCATGCCATTGCGATTGGACCATTGACTCCGCATGCTCGCGAGCACGGAGCGTTCCTCCCGCAGGAGGACCGATCACGGATGGTCAATCGTTCCTTCGTACTTTGCCGAAGGTGGCTCAAAATGCCTACCCTTGTGTGCTCGGACATTGAGTTTCTATAATAGAGTATCCGGCAAGTCGTGGCGTGTAGGTGGTGTTTCAAGTGACACGCGCGGTTCCACGACAGATGAAATACCGCGACCCCCCTTCGTCCCACTCACTGCGTTTGGTGCGTTTTCCGGCGTGCGCAGGTGTTTGGAACCGAAGGTTGCGCGCTTGAGGGTGACGTGATAGACGAACTCGTCCAAGCGACGGGGGTGCTCCGCAGACTCAAGATCGGCGACGAGGCCACTCCGCTTCTCCTCTTCCTCCTCCTGCTGCTGCCGCGCCTCGGCGTGGTCCTCAGCGAGGGTCACCTTGGCCAAGGCGTCGGTGAGAGCCTCCACCACTCTGTTCCTGTAGGCCATGGCAGCGGCGCTCTCTTCTTGCCCGGGCCCGACCAGTGAAAGGGCCTTCAGCCCGATAGCCGCATTAGAAAGGAATAAAGGGCCTT